GACTCTCATGCTGTTTCCCGATTGGAAATCTTAAATTTATGCCCATCTCTATCAAAAAAAAAAGAAGAAACTGGAAGAGATATCCCTTTTATGTTTGTTTCTTCATATATAAACAACACAATCAATATTCTTTTATCTTGATGATCTATGTACTAAATTCGTTTTTAGAATTGCTACTATTTTAATTTGATTGATTATTTATCGTATTGTGGTATTTTCTTCACTCATTAGAGCTATATCGAATATATATATATAACTACAAGATTTATTCATCTTAATTTTTTCTCAGAGTTTCTAATATTGACGACCTTTTCATGGTAATGAAAATAACTTAGGTAATTTGAAGCCCTTTGAAAGAAATACGTTATTTTTTAGTATCCCATATTGTAAATTCATTAACTTTTCGTTTACAGTGTCAAATAAACAATATTGAAAAATTCTTACTAAACATGTGACATTGATGTCGAGTAATTGAGAAGAAACATAGTCAATATCAAATTTAATTTAGCATTCTCAAGCTATAATGAAATTCTAAGTTGATTTTTTTTTAGTATCTGTATATTAACTTGAGTTTTTTTACAACTTCTATGAAACTACGATTTTCTTAAATTTAACGAAATCAAAATGAGTCACATAAATACAAAATCTTTAGAATTATACTAGAAAGCATTTTTACGATAAAAGAATGTACCACTTTATTTTTTTCAATCTTAGTTTCATCGATTTTTTATCACGTGTAAATAAGATTGCTACATATTAAAAAAAAAAAAAACCTTTCTTACTTTTATTCTTAATACAGTTTGGCTGATTTTTTAAAATACGCTAAAGGGACATGAACACTTGCCTAGTTTATAAATAAGAAAACATTTTCTTTTAGCATAGAATGAATTGTTATTTATTTTTTTATCATTAAATTTATGGATTTTTTCTACAATTATCTTAATAGATTTTCATTAGAATTCAAATACTATAATTTTTAACGATTTACTTACTCTTCCAAATGAAATTAATCAATGCATTTTTTTTACTATCACTCATTGCTATATTATGTCCTTGTAGTGAGTGTGACGAACTGACCGATTTTCATCGAATTGTCGTTATTGGCGATATCCATGGCGACTCAGATAATTTTCGAAAAATTTTACGAACTTCCAGCTTAATTCACGAAGAAATTAATGAAAAGGGTGAAACTAACGTTATTTGGAGCCCTCTAAAAGACATTGAAGGTTTTCCTATACGTACTTCACTAATTCAGATCGGTGATTTGATTGATCGTGGCGAAAATGATATGCAATGCTTAAATATGGCATTTTCACTTTACGAACAAGCAAGTGCAAGTGCAAATGATGATAAAGTTGTTTTAATAATTGGAAATCATGAGTTACTTAACCTTGAAGGACTTTATTATATGGTAAACACTAATAATTTCGGAGGCTTTTTTACTAAAATATTGAGGGACTATGCCTTTAAGCCTAATGGACCCTATGGAAAAAATATTATAAAAAATTTTAAAGCACTTCATGTTGAAGAAGACAGTATTTTTGTACACGGTGGTTTTTCATCAACAAGTCAACATGATCCACTCAGCGAAAATGAGCTAAATAGCTTGGTTCAAAAATCCCTTCTTGAAAGAAATTATGATATACCCATTTTTGGAGATAAAGGACCTTTTTGGGATCGAACAATGATTTACGACGCGATGAATGGTAATTGCGACACTGTTGATCTTGTTTTAAAAAATTATAATGTCAAAAGAATCATTGTTGGACACACAATTCAGGCAAGTGGAAGTATTGGAGTTTTATGTGGAGGCAAGCTTCTTGCTGTTGATGTAGGGATCAGCAGTTGGATACTCAATAATCCCGTAGCTCTTGAAATTTTTATTTTACGATACAAGGGTAACAATGGAAACTATGTCATAACTGAGTTATGGGAAGTCACTGAAAACTTTCAGAGAAAGCTTGACATCATCGAACAAAATTAATTGCCTGATGTAAATCTTTCTCATGAATCTATACGCATAAGTTTTTTCTGTTCTTTAGTATTTTCCATGTTTTTCTTATAATTTCTTTATTTTTATTATTTCTGTTACTTAAAAATATTTTGAATTTTTTTTCTATTATATATCTTTATTATTTATTGATTTTATATTTTTTATTATATATGAATATTATTCTTACCTTGACAATTGCAAAAAAAAAACTCAATTCATTTTATTTTTCCAAGATTATTATTTTTTATTTACAAGGAATAGGAATCTACGCACCATTTTTGTTTATTCAAACGTGATGTTGCCCCATAAATTCAAGAAGAATAGTAAGAAAGGATGCCTCAATGATGAGATAGATATCCCACAGACATCTTCTCAGAACTTATCTCGACACAAAAGAAATCCTCGTTCGAAAGGGTTGCAGGAAAAATTCTATAAAAAATCCTCAAACATTTCAGATACTCAACAAAACGTTTTTCCTTTAGAATCACCTGTATATCAACTACCTGATGCAAATGCTGTTTCAACGTGGCGATATAAAGATTTTTTCGCCTTAGTTAAAGCCTTTGTTGATAACAACGCACAAGAACTATCCTTACCTTCATCGCTAACAGGGAGTCAGCGTAAAGATGTCCATAGTATTGCAATGATTTTTAATCTTAATCATAAGTCGCATGGTACTTCTACACATCGAGCGTTGAAGCTAACTAAACCGATATCACAAAATCTTTTGCAAAGTCAAGAAACGACAATCGCTGGTTCATGTATCGAGAAAACAGAAGGGTATCAAGGGGCTCAGGAACTTATGGATTACCCTACTGAGGAACAGTTAGAAACATCCATAAAATTAATGAAGAAATATTGGCATAACATGTTCCAAGCTTTACGCGCTGAGGCTGGTCGTCCAGAGAAGCCGCGCAAGAAAATGCACATGCTCCAAGGAGGTTTGTCCACTCCTCCACCATTCAGAAAGAATGAATCACGTTATCAAAGTTTGCAAAAGCAGCGGCAATCGCTCCCCGCTTTTGGACTACGTGATAATATTATTAATATTCTGAATGTTAATGATGTTGTAATTGTGTGTGGTGCTACAGGTTGTGGTAAAACAACGCAGGTGCCGCAGATCATATTCGACGCACACATTTTTCCCAGCGATTCAATTATTGTGTGTACGCAGCCACGCCGAATTAGTGCCATTTCGGTGGCCCTTCGTGTGGCGGAGGAGCGTGGCGAGGCGTGTGGGGACAGCTGTGGGTATGTAATCCGGTTTGAGAATAAAACCAGCCCCAATACTCGAATTGTGTATGAGACAACTGGTATCCTGCTTCGACATCTGTACACGGATCCAGAGTTAAGAGGGGTATCGTGCGTGATTGTCGATGAGGTTCATGAACGCGATCTCGACACCGACTTTTGCCTGTTACTCTTGAAGGATCGTCTGGTGGCACAACGCCGGTATCCTGACAAGTATCCTACTAAATTGAAGCTTGTGGTGATGTCAGCAACGGTGAAAATCGAGTCTCTGGTAAATTATTTCTCCGGAACAAACACGAGTCCCCAGGTCCCGCTGATTAGCATTGAGGGTACGTTGTTCCCTGTCGACGAGTACTTTCTGGAGGATGCCATTCGTTGGGTAAATGTACCTGCCACGTCTGTGCCAGCGATGGGACTCCTGCGTAATGGCAGTAGCCCTAAAATAAATAACGAAGGAAATGATAGTGAAGAAGAAAGTTTATACGAAAAACTTCGATCTGCCGTATTCAATGATGTCGAACGCGATGCCGAGGCAATGGTACCGTACGAATTGGTCTGTAAAATAATTGAATATTTTCATAAAAAAGATGTCAATCGTTCGGGTAGCATCCTTGTATTTTTACCTGGGTGGGGTGCTATAACACGTGTCCACAAAATGCTTTACCGTCTACCGATATATCGGGAGTTGTATGTATTGATGCTTCACTCAAGCCTCACAAGCTCTGAGCAGCAGCGAGTATTTTTGGCGGCGCCAAAAATGTACCGAAAAGTTGTACTTGCCACAAGCATTGCCGAGACAAGTATAACAATTGACGATGTGGTTTACGTCATAGATAGTGGGCTTGTTAAGGGAACGTTGTATGATCCCTCTAGCAATCTGTCTTCCCTAAAGGCAACGCTGATAGCGAAAGCAAACGGCAAGCAGCGACGTGGGCGAGCCGGCCGTTGTCAAGCGGGAGTCTGTGTTCACTTACTTCCTACTCCTGTGTATGATGCCCTGCAAGACTTTCTGCCACCCGAGATGATGCGTTCACCTCTGGAAGAAGTCTGTCTGCTATTAAAGATAATCCATCCAACTGAGAAGTGCGAGGCTGTCCTGGCGCGTGCGATGGACCCTCCACCGCTTACGTCGGTGCAGAATGCTGTACAATTTCTGACGGAGATGGGTGCACTTACAAATGAAGAGCAGTTGACAAATCTTGGTTATGCTCTGGCTCAGTTACCGGTGCACCCGCTCCTAGGAAAGATGCTGTTCGCTTCGACATGTTTCGGTGTACTAGATTCTGTGGCAACAATTGCGGCAGGGTTGTCAGTGAAGACGTTGTTTGTGAAGCCTCAGCCATCTGAGAAGATGGCTGCACGCGAGATGATGAAAAATTTGGATAAACATGCCTTTTCTGACCATTTGTGTGTCAGAAGGGTATACTGTGAATGGTTAAGGAGTGGTCGAAGTTCTCATTACGCAACTGAGCACTTCGCAGATCAATCGGCACTGTATATGCTAGATCGTACAAAGCAGCAACTAATTAACCTTGTGCACCGATCACCATTGTTACGACAAGCAAAAAACCCAGCCAAAGATGCTTCCCGTCATAACGAGAACATGGGGCTTGTTCGCCTTGTTGTATTATGGTCTTTATATCCTCGCATTGCTTCAATTGAATTGCATGCAAAGAGAAAGAATTTACCCCCAAGGGTGGTTTGCTGGGACAACAAGCCATCGGTTTTCTCCATGGGCTCGGTACTAGCGTCTGCTAAACGAAGTGACATTATACCAACACCTTTTGTCATGTATTATGAACGTATGCAATTGGAATCAACACTCACATTATTTGATTCGTCGTGTGTATCCCCATTGGATGTTGCGCTATGTATAAATCAGCTCACAATTTGCTCATTATCAGAAATTCCAGAGTCCATGATATTTGACAATGAGAGCAAAATGGGGCCATCATCCCCTTTAAATTTAAATAAAATCCAAAATAAGGAGGACTACAAAGCAATACTTTTTGATGGGGGAAAAAAGTTCTATGTCACAACAAACCGTGTGGCTCACGCATTGAAGATGGCCCGCAGTTGCATGGATTACTACCTCGCGTTGTCCATCAAAAAGCTATGCGCGGATGTCTTCCCACGAGAGCTTGTGTGCGCAATCGCAACGCTTATTGGCTACCCGCTGTCTGACACCGTAACGGAAAGCAATAGATTTATCGGTGATATTCCAGGTGCCATGCCAGCGTTCACTGATAATCGTCCTGAGAGTGTACCTTCTTTTATCCGCGGTTATAAAGACATGGATTTCACTGAAAGTGACAATGAGTGTAACATGATTGAGGTGGTGAGCGGGGACAAATTCGACGAAGAGTTGCCTTTAACAGTAGATCAAAAGAAATACGCTGCTGATGCATATGGCAATCTGGCCGTACTTTGCGATGATGAAGCTTTCAATTTTCTTGTATCTGCTCAGGGTAATGATTTTTCTAACGAAGCTAAATTGGATTCTGCTACTGAAGCAAATAAAAAAAGTTCAAGCATACAGGATCAATTTAGGGAGCAGGAGTCTGATGACGACGAAGATATCATTATTGCTAATCCAGGTGATCTAGTAATTAATTGAATATAGTACAATTTGCTTCAAAGAGCAATGAAATAAAATATAACATTTTGTTGTTATGCACATTCATTTGTTTTTTAGTAGCTTGTGTTCTGAATACATTCTTAGATTGCAATGAGATAGCTTTATTTGCATTATTTAGCAATTTTGTTTTCATCCTTTCGGAGATAAAGCTTTCGTGAAGTAAATTCATTCATTAAAACCTTTTCTTGATCTTTAAAAGTTTATTTTTCAAATGCTTCATCAGCTTCTTGGCACCATGCATGTGGAAGAGATCTTTTTTCATAAATTTTCATCTTCTTTGAGTTAGGTTCTTTTGATTTCTAGCACCTAGATTTATTCTGTAATTAATACATAATATTATACAGTTTGTATGCAGATAATCTAGAGGAATTGAGATGAGTTATTGTAAATTATAACTTTATTATTATAGCCTTTTTTTCCTTGGTTAAGCCACGGTTCTATGAAACGTATTATGTCGCTTAATGCATACATGTATGTAGTCACAAACAGTATGTAAAAATTAGATTAATTATCTAATAACGGTTTCATATTTTTGTAAAACACGACAGACGTTTTGTATTGACCTGTGCTGTCCTTCTTGAGTAAATAAAATACTTTGTAAAGATTAGAATCAGTGTTAGTAATATCTAAAAGAAAACATAATCAGAACAGTGGATCTATCGGAATTAAAATTTAGATATCTATCATAAACTCGAAAATGTGTTTTTTCACCTAACCTTATTGGGATCACAATGATAAATGTATCTAAATAGTAGAAAGTATCGAATAACTTACATAATTTTATTTCCTATATTGTATCTTATTGCGATGCAATTAAGTAGCAGAATTAATAAAAATGAATAACGCTGAATTTACAAAGTGTTGTTTCGAAATTTATTTTAATTATAGCTGCAGAAGAGAAGACCATATGACTGCATCGGGCCAAAAGACAATAGGGTATCGAAAAGTCATTGACAATTTGTGCAAATGGAAAGACCTAAGCTTTTTTATGCTCAACAATTCCAAAGAATGTAGTCTACAACCCTATGGAAAAAATATGTGGGAATAATTTGTGATGAGAGCATCTCCACCCCTTCTCCTACTTCAGGCAATTCGTTAGGAATACGGGAGGGGTGTCTTTCTTAGGGAATTATATGTAGTACTATAGAACATATTGTCACTAACGAATACAGGCGTCATGACAATCGTAGGGACAACATAAACACTTCGGCAAACAACTCATCATTATCTCTACTTGAACCTAGCAGATGTCAACTGGAGCAGATTGACCTCAACGTTTTTAAGGGTGTTGGAAGCAGAATTTACATTTTTGAGAAGTCATTAATGTTTACTGAAAAGTGAAATGTCTTTCAATTATGAATATGAGCTCAGCCTTTCTCTGTGATTCAGGTAGGCAGTTCTACACTCTGCTTATCCACAACCGAGTAAAAAGTGTTGATGGCAATATTATTTAGGATGCCTCGGAATTTTTGTAGTGGGTGAGTTACCAAAAGACAAAGATACGAGCAAAACTGTTGAAATTTGTCGAAATGGCCGCACCGAGACGTTTGTAGCTTTTTCAATCCTTAATTTTTCCACTGAAATTCTGTACTTTCAAACGTGTTTTTTCACTGGCACGGGGACTTTTTTTTCTCTCTAAAATTATTAGAGTAGAAAACTGCGATGATAATGCCACATTAATTGAACTTAGTGGTAACAGGGGACACAAATATTATGCAAATTAAGCGCTCTTAAGTCATTGTCCATAAAAAAAAAGTGTACATGTTTTCTTTATTTTCACATGAAATGTGTCTAAACCATTCACTATTACAGGGTATGTTCGTGATGGCCGAGCGATAAAACTTGATGTTCTTATTTCAGTGGATGACAAAATCAATTACCCAATGGTTATTCATTAACTCAACAAGTCTCCACGACCAACAGAACCAGGCTAAAGTTATTTTAGGTTAACACTACGATAATCACCAACATCTCCTACAGTCAAACTGAAAAGACCTTGATTGAAGCTCACCATTCCAGTAAGATACACCATGAAATCGAAAATTATGGTTAATAAGATGCATATATACGCATGGATACAAATACATGAACTATTTCAACATAAATACTGCGGGATGAAATAGTAACATTAGTTATCTCACAAATAAAAGGGTTAGTAATGCCACTATCTCATTTTTATAGTAATGATTTAACAAACTCCCTTTTTTATTGCCTCAAGCTCTATCATTAACCAAACTCTTAGGTTTCCAGGAGGAGAAAATTCTACTTTGTTTTCAAACCGCAACTCCCCTGTAAACTTGTAATTACCCCTTTGCACACATACACAAAAAAAAGGTAATCACTGCAGTGAATTCATTTCGTCCTCTATTCATTTCTACAACAAGGAACTGTGTTATCACCTTTAAGATCATCATCTTTATTATCAAATCTATTATCAATAAGAAACTTGTGATATTTATGGTAAAATGAATGGCATAGCAACATCATTAGCTTCCACTAGCAGGACTTTGGAAGACCTTCATGCTCACAAGAATGGTTTGAAATCTGAAGAAAAGTTCATCTTGTATATTACGCGTTTTCGACTTGTTGAAACGGCTGAGGAGACATCACAGTGGTCTTCACGTAGCAAGCAACAGTGGGATGCAACAAACCCTATTATAATACACGTTAAATCCAAACTGGTTCGAATTGGAAGTACTCCTCCTAAGATGATAAAATACGACCGACAGGGATGGACAGGTGCTGAATGGGGATTAGAGTCTGGGTTTGAAGTTCCTATCCATGAGGAACCTATGTTATTGATTGAAGTAGCAAGTACGAAACATCCCAACATCATAATTGGGTTAGGCGCCTTCAACGTGCAGTCAATCGCAACGGAGTCCAATCAGTATTTAAGATATTGCTTGCACATTACTCCAACCAAAACCGCTATAGATTCTGAAGCAGTTCATGCGGTACTAGATGTAGAAATACACAGCAGCCTGTTGGATGAACCCCCGGAAAGTAACTACATGCCACTGGAATATAACTACACTGCGGTACGGGTCTCAACAATGGATCTTTACTACCCACCTTTTTTGCTCTCAGATGCCGGTCAGTACATTGTCTCCAATGTTATTTGCGTTATGAATATGACTGAATCCAGCTCCTTGGCCATGCAACTAGTGCCTTTGAAAGAGGCTTCGGTGTATATTAATATTGAGCCTCCAAACGTCATTACGGTGAGACCACAGCAACGGATGTATTTCAGTGCGACGTGGATTCATTCTCAAAAGGCCTGTATGAGGGCTCTTGAAATTAGGTTAGTGGTGAATGGCTTGCAGCGACCTTCCGCACCGATTGTTATCAAAGCGCACCTCACGATTCCTCAGCCCACCACAACGAATATTCCATACCATTACTGGGTAAACACCACTTGCATTACAAACCGATCTATACTCGCTTCGCAAGAGCTTCCTATTCTCCGTGCCATCCTTCCCGTCTATCGTGTTTTAAGCAGTAGCGGGTTTGTTGACCCGACTGAAGGTATGATCGTGGCGTTTGACAAGGACAAGGGGGAGCAAGTTCTGTTGAGGAACGATGGTATGCCGCTGACGATGAGCCGCCCCGGTAGCCAATGGAGCAAGTTAGCAATGGATTCAGCCCTCCGAAGGGATGGGGTAATACAAGGAATTGATATTTCTCAGACAAATATCACGGACCTCTTTTCTGAGTCACTTCTCAACGCGAACGGCTCCTTTGTCGTACAAGAAGCAGACCAAGTTGATTCATTCCCGATGCGGAGGCCTCTTCTGAATCTTTACCAGAAAACATGCATGTGCACAATTGTCTTAGGAACTATCTACGGATTCCCCATGGTTTTGGGGTTGTCGACGGGTATCTCGCCGTCTTTTCAAGTCAGCATTACTCTACTTGACCAAAAAGGCTGGCAAATTGTTATAGGTGATACGCTACCGAGCTATCAAAGTGCCAGTGGAAGCCTGCGATGGATAGAGCATCTGGTGCTGCTCAAATGGCCCGGCGCAGACTCAACTCAGTTTATTCGGTTGAACCTAACGGAGGTTCGGCCGCAAGACGGGGATGAAACCCCAATTGGAGCTGGACTCATATCGCTAAATAGAATGGATCGAATCCATGCTATGAACTCACTTAGTGTTGCCTTTTATGTGTATGAGACGTATTCCCTGTACGACCAACTAAACTCATCCAGTCTGCTTATGAAGGACGTCAAGGTGATTTTCTCGGAGATGCGTTAGCACAGTGGAATCAACTACGGGGTTTGCTTTTAGCTTCTAGTTCCGATTTCGTCTGTATTGTGAGTGTGGAAGGGGCTGATTGCTGTTTGCATTTATCCAAGATAGACAAAAGTGGAAATAAAATATATTGTTCAAACAAGGTTTCACGAAGATTGTTGAATAAACTTAATCTTTTTGTTTGCTTTGTAGTGAGATTTTTTAATAACAACTTTTTCTACTCTCTTTCATTTTATCAAATGATATTAACTTGACATGAATATTATAGTGGGAAGCAATAGTATAAATAATGGTAAAGTCCCATTACGTTTGTGCTGGACGCCTGGTGCGCATTCTCCGTGGACCTCGCCAGGACCGTATCGGCGTCATCGTGGACATCGTCGACGGCAACCGCATCATTGTTGAGAACCCGGAGGACAAGAAGATGTGGCGCCACGTGCAGAACCTCCGTAATATTGAGCCGCTCAAGTTTTGCGTGAAGCTCTCACGCAACTGCCGCGCCAAGGCCCTGAAGGAGGCCGTGACGTCGTCGAAGATTCTTGAGCGCTACGCCATCACCCGGACGGCCGTGCGGGTGGCGGCGAAGAAGGCGTTGGCCACCTCAACGGACTTTGAGCGCTATCAACTGCTCGTGGCCCGCCGTTCGCGAGCTCACTGGGCTCGTAAGGTTTTCGATGCAGCCGACGCGAAGGAGCCCGTCTCGTGGCATAAGGTTGCTCTCCGGAAGATCCAGCGGAAGGCGGCCAAGATGGACTCCACCCCCGGCGCTAAGAAGCGCATGCAGAAGGCCATCGCCTCACGGGCGAACAAAAAATGAAGCTGTTTAATGCTATGACCCCAATGATTATATTATTTTTACTTGAAATTTGGATGAACATACACATAAAGGTTTTTTATCCTACTACAGTAGGGCATCTTCTCTGGATTTCTCTATTTTTCCCATATGCTTCTATAATTTTTTTGCTTTCTTTTCTGCGTATGCAACTTTGTAAGTTTACCCATCGCATAATAAGGTAAAATGCTTCTATATTTTTATTGAGCTCGTTATATATTTTTATTTAAAATTTACCACATGATTCTTATAGGTCTTACAGGTGGCATTGCATGTGGCAAGTCTACTGTATCATCTATTCTCAAGCGTGATTACCACATGGAAATCATTGATGCTGACGCGATTGTGCGCGAGCTTCAGTCTCCAGGCGCGCCGTGCACTCGAAAAATTGCCCAACGCTGGCCAGAGTCCATAGACCCGCTTACAGGTGCCCTGCGTCGAGAAGCTTTAGGAAGAATTATATTTAAAGATGTTAATGCTCGCCGTGAGTTAGCTAAAATTATGAATCCTCGAATCTTTCGGACTATCCTAGAACGTATCGCATACCACTGGTGGAAAGGGTTATGGCACAACTCCTCGGATCCGTATGTAGTGATTTTAGATGCTCCCACACTTTTTGAGACTGGTTTATTCACCTTTTTCATTAGCAATTCGCTCGTAGTTGGGTGTTCTGAGCAACTACAAATCACGAGACTGCACGCTCGCAACAGGTTTTCTGAAGAAGAAGCGCTTAATTGTATTCGATGCCAAATGTCTTTGGAGCGAAAGCGAAGGCTAGCCGGATACGTTATTGAGAATGACGAATCCGGCTTAGAAGTGCTCGAGAGAAAAGTTGCAGAGTGTGTGGAGTGGATACAGCGCCAAGGGGAACACAAACTTAACATGGTTGTAGGCGGCATATTATCAGTTTGCGTACTGACAGCTTCAATATCTCTAAGAGCGTTTTTTAAATATTGCATATGAATTAAACAACAGACATGAGAACTCTAGTATCACCACTTTTTTGTTTTCCATTTTGTGTCTCTTTATATTTGAGTTTGAAGTTTTTAAATTCTGCTTGATTG